CTCCCTTCAACCCCTCTCTCTCCTCTCCATTCACAAAAGCTTTGTTTCCATTTTTTCCTTTTCTCCTTCTTTTACCTCTTCTCTTCTTTCCTTTTCCCCTCCCCATATGAACCTTTTCTTCCTATTTCACAATATCTACTACATTTTGGTCCTCACTTACACTTTTGCTTTCTCATATCAGGGAAACAATGTAGTATTTACACATGTGTGTCCAATTTATTTCACTTAAGAGCATGGGCTCCAAGTGCATCCATTTACCTAGAAAAGTCTTGAGCTTATCATTCTTTATGGCAGAGTAGTACTCCATTGTGGAAAAGAACTACATTTTCCTTATCCATTCACCAGTTGATGAGCATTTGAAAGTCCAATGTTTTGTAAAATTAATAAACACTGACAAAATATTTTTAAATGTTAAAAAAATCCTTCCAATTAACCAGTAAAACTAAGAAAAGAAATAGAGTTTAAATAGAATAGAATTTGTGCTTCTTTAATATTTTTTAAAAGGCTGAGTGGACCGGGGAGATGGCTCAGTAGAATAAGCGCTTGCCTGGCAAGTACAAGGGCCTGAGTTCAATCCCCGGTTCTGCCAAAAAAAAAAAAAAAAGTATTTTTTAAAAGGCCGGCCAGATAGCTCGGCAGACTAAAGTGCCTGCTTCGGCAGAGCTCAGTGGAGACTGGACATAGTGGCACGTGCCTATAATCCCAGCACTTGGGAGGCTGAAAACAGGAAAATCACTAGGAGTCCAATCTATGTACTGAGATTCTGTACACCCTGTATAGACGCTGTCCTAAAGTCATAAAAAAGTATATTTTTTAAAGTGTAATTTTTAAGAATGTGAAGAATTTTATAACTCAAACGGGTACATAAATACATTGATAGTTAAATCAGATGCAGAGAAAGTAGACAAAAGGGAAAAAAATTATTTTTAATTGGACTTTTTGTTTTTTGTTTTGTTTTGTTTTGTGGGTTTTGAGACAGTCTCACTACATAGCTAAGGCTGGCCTCGAACTCATAGCAATCCTCCTGCGTCTGCCTCCCAAGTGCTGGGATTTCAGGCACAAACCATTATACCCAGCTAGTAATACTTTTATTCTTAATTAAGAGACAAGAACTACTTACTTAACTCGTGGGTTTTTTTCTTGTCTAAAAAATTTTACTAAGAAAATAAGCCTTGGCCCCATCCAACTCCTAACAGAAATGTTTTTTAATCTAGATCCAAAACATCTCTCCTTACATACACTAAATGTGAATGTCAAGTGTTCCAGTAAGAGAAATAACTGACAGAAAGAATTCAATACAGCCAAGTAAAGTGGGAACCATCATACAACACCAGTGAAGTCCGGCAAACAGGGAGAGGTTCAAAGCTAGAAAAAACTGGTTTGTTTGAGAGTAATTAAAATCAGAAAGTGGAAGATTTCAGTCAGGATAAGCCCAAAGAAGACCATGTGGGCAAGATAGTAACTGATCAGGAAAATTTAAATGTCTGCTCCAGTTTCCAACAAAATGAGTGGGCTTGTGTGATCAATGTAAAGAACTAAGAAACTAAGGAAACATTACCACTGATAACTAAGTTAAACATAACCGCTCAGTATGGCAGTATGTGCCTGTAGTCCCAACACTTTGGGAGGCTGAGGCCGGAAAATCATCACTTGAGCCGCAGAAGTCCAGATCCAACCTAGGGCCCATAGTAAGGCTCTACGTTGAAAATAATATTTATAATATAATGAAAACAACTCCTAGGATATCTAAGGGCTTAGGTTATGAATAGAAATAGATGGATATTAAGAGTAAATAAGAAACATTAGCCAGAACAATAAGGCAAGAGGAAAAAAAAGGGATACATATAGGAAAGGAAGAGATCAAAGTGTCATTATTTGCAAATGACATAGCCCTCTACTTTATAAGACCCAAAAAATTCCATGAAAAGACTCCTAAGTCTAATAACCAAATAAAGCAACATAACAGGATACAAAGTCAAAAAAAACAAAAATCAATAGCCTTTCTATGCACTAATTAATAATGAACACACTAAGAAAGAAGTTAGGAAAGTAAAACTATTCACATAGCATAAAGAGGAAATTACATAATTAGGAATTAACCTAAGTAAGGAAGTAAAAGAGCTCTATAACAAAATTATGTCTCTTGAAAGGGAGACTGAAAAGGATATCAGAAAATGGAAAGAACTCCAGTTCTTGGGTAGGCAGAACCAATACAGCCAAAATGGTCATACCCCCAAAATTAAATCTGTAGTTACAAATTAATGCAATCCCAATCAAAATACCAACACTAGTCCCTGCAGATCTAGAGAAAATAATTATAAAATTCATAGGGAGCAGGAAGAGACCAAGAAAAGCAAAAGCAATCCTGGGTAACAACAGCAAAGCAGGAGGCATCACAACCCCAGATTTGAAGTATATTACAAAACTACAGTGATTAAAAAAAAAAAAAACATGGTACTTGCACAAAAACTGAAAATGTGGATCAATGGGACAGAACAGAAGAAGCAGAAATAACTGTAGTTATGTCAAACTTTTACTTCAACAGAGGGGCCAAAAACATATACTAAGGTAAAGATAGTCACTTTAATAAATGTTGCTTGGAAAATTGGATATCCACATGAGAAAGGTTGAGTCTAGACCCATGTATCTCACCATGAACTAAACTAAAATCAAAACTGATTGAAGATCTAAATGTTAAAACAGAAACACTTAAGGTACTGGAAGATAAATTAGTAAAACACAAGGCAGGCATATGGCATGCATCATGTTAAGGTTTGCGTCTAGATGCCCCTTCCCCCAAGCCCATGCAGTCATAGGGGCTGTTTTTGGCGGTGCATAAATCTAAAGTCTGTGACTGATTCATAGTGCAATGCTGGTGTTGCTGGATCAGTCCACGGGTTGGATTGGTACCAGTCTAATCCCAGTAGACTGGGACAGAAGAGGCTTGTCTTGCTCTTCCCTTGCTTGCTTTTGCTGTCTTCTACTTCTAGGAACTGTTTCTCCTCTGGAATGCCCCATTGCCAAGCCAATTCTGCCTTAGACCCAGCCAATTACAGACCGAAGCCTCTCCAAATAGGGAACAAAATAACCCTTTCCTCCTTTACTTTGGCTGTTGGGTATTCTGTCTCAGCAATGAGAGAAAAGTAATCAGGACAAGGCTGGAATCCCAGCATTTGGGAGGCTGAGGCAGAATGATTGCCAAGAGTTTGAGAACAGCCTAGATTACACGGCAATACCCTATCTCAGAAAAACAAACAACAAAAAAAGTAAAACACTTGAAGACAGAGGCATAAGCAAAGATTTTCTAAACAGAACTTCAATGGCACAAAAAATAATACCAAGAATCGACAAATGGAATATCAAATTTAAAAGCCTCCTGCACATCAAAGGAAACAAACAGAGTGAAGAGGCAACCTACAGTATGGGGAAAAAAATTACAGCTATTTCTTAGAAAAGGACTAATATCAAGACCATATAAAGAACTCAAAAAAATTAGAAACCCCCAAAATAAAAGATCCAGTAAAAAATGGACAACTAAAATGAAAAATAC